CACTGGAGTCCTGTATTTGAAAGTCAGATTTTCTGTTTAGCTCTGGTCTTTTCATCAGGAATGCTTGAAAGTCCTCTATTTCACTGAATGACCATTTTTTCCCCTGAAGGATTATACTCAGTTTTGCTGGGTAGGTGATTCTTGGTTGTAATCCTATGTCCTTTGCCCTCCGGAATATTATATTCCATGCCCTGTGGTCCTTTAATGTAGAAGCTGCTAAATCTTGTGTTATCCTGATTATGTTCCCACAGTACTTGAATTGTTTCCTTCTGGCAGCTTGTAATATTTTCTCCTTGACCTGGGAACTCTGGAATTTGGCTACAATATTCCTCGGAGTTTTCCTTTGGGGATCTCTTTCAGGAGGAGATCTGTGGATTCTTTCAATTTCAATTTTGCCCTCTGGTTCTACTATGTCAGGGCAGTTTTCCTTGATAATTTCTTGAAAGATGATGTCTAGGCTTTTCTTTTGATCATGGCTTTCAGATAGTCCAATAATTTTTAAATCCTCTCTCCTGGATCTATTTTCCAGGTCAGTTGTTTTTCCAATGAGATATTTCACATTGTTTTCTAATTTTTCATTCTTTTGGATTTGTTTTACAGTGTCTTGATTTCTCATAAAGTCATCGTCTTCCAATTTCTCTAATCTAATTTGTAAGGAAGTGTTTTCTTCAGTAATCTTTTGGACTTCCTTTTCCATTTGGCCAATTTTGCTTTTTTAGGGCATTTTTCTCCTCATTGGCTTTTTGGATCTCTTTTGCCATTTGGGTTAGACTGTTTTTTAAGGTGTTATTTTCTTCAGTATTATTTTGCGTCTCCTTTAGCAAGCTGTTGAGTTGTTTTTCATGATTTTCTTGCATCACTGTCATTTCTCTTCCCAGTTTTTCCTCTACTTCCCTTACTTGCTTCTCAAAATCCCTTTTGAGCTCTTCCAAGGCCTGGGACTGATTCATATTTTTCTTGGAGGCTTTGGATGTAGGAGCTTTGATTTTGTTGTCTTCTTCTGGTTGTATATTTTGATCTTCTTTTTCACCAAAGTAAGATGATATAGTCTGACTCTTTTTGCGCTTCTTGCTCATGATCCCAGCCAATTACTTGAGTTTTAAACTCCTTGTTAAGGTACGAATCTGCTCCCAATGTGGAGAATGTACTGTCCCAAGCTTTGGGGGTTTGTACAGCTGTTTTCAGAGATACTTGTAGGGACTTGTAAATTTTCAGTTCTTCCAAGGTGGTATGATAAGGGGCGAGGTGTTTACTCCTTTCCTGGCCTGTGACCACAGGCATTCCTTTCTGTTCTTTAACTGTGAGGAGGGGTTCCTCTCCACAGCCACTCCAAGCTCCACCACACCAGCGCTCCTCCTTACCCTAGCACTGCCGCCCCAGAACTGTGACCCAGATCCAATCATGGGCAAAGCAAGAGATTCCTGCCTCAGCACTGGCAAAGAGATCCCTGCAGTCCCTCTCTGATCAGCCACTGGATTCCCCCTCAGTCTGTGGGCTTGGGAAGCAGCTGCTGGCCCGCCCCCCCTCCCAGGCTCTTGGGGAATGGAGCTGAAACCCCGCCTTCCTCTCTGACCACCAACAGAAACAGACTTTTCCCACTGACCTTCTAAGTTGTCTTTGGCATTGTGGATTGAGGAGTCTGGAAACCTCCACAGCTGCCTGCGATTCAGTCCTCTGAGGCCTGCTCCAGGTTTGCTGCGGCCTGTATGCCCACGCTGCGCTGCGCTCCCAACCCAGCGCAATACACCTTTCTGATCAATCATCCAGGTTGTCTTGGGCTGGAAATGTGTTTCACTCTGTCTTTTTGTGCGTTCTGCTGCTTCAGAATTTGTTTAGAGCCATTTTTTATGAGTATTTGGAGGGGTTTGGGGGAGAGCTCAAGCAAGTCACTGCTTTTACTCCGCCATCTTGGCTCCACCCCCTTACTGTTACTTTCTGAAGTCTGTCCTGGGGCCCAACCTTGGGCACCTGTCTCTACTCCTAAGCCATGGCCAGGGCCCTCACCCACATTGCCTAGCAAATGATCTTGTTCCCTGTGGTCCCTCTCTCCACTCCAAACTGCAACTGTCCTCTCTGCCCTGGAACTGAAACCGGGGACTCTGCTCTCCTGCAAGTACCCATAGCCAGCAGGGTCCCCACTCCTCTGCTACTGTACTCACCAGGTGTGTGCTAGCTCCTTCTTCTTACAGCCACAGTCTAGAATAAGTCTGGTCAACACAGCTGTGCTTGGGTCCCTCCATGTTGAAAGTTTCTTCAGTGTTCTATTCAGCTGTCATACAATGCCCTCCCCCCCTCCACACGCACTCACACTCACAGACATGCACGCGCACACACACTGTGTGTACAAACTGTCTATGAGATGAATGTTTCTAAGGCTGAAGCTGTCTCTCAACCCTAGATGCCCCCAGGGCTTATTTATTAGTTCTGCAGAGTAGGCCTGAAGGTGTTTGCACTTCCCTCAGACCAAACCTCTGCCCCTGGAGTTTGGGTCTTTCCTAGGGTTTTCTCAAATTGTTTTAGGAGGACATTTGCTTTACCCCCACTTGTTTATTCCCTCTGAGGTGATGTTCTGTCTTCTTTTGTGGAAAAATTTGGAGAGCCAAAAGTTTTTTTACCTACTCCGCCATCTTCCCAGAGTCCTAGCAAGCTATTTTTAAAGTTTTGAAATTCCAGAATTTCTATCATTAGAAAAACAGTGGTAACAGGACAAATGTGTAAACAGAAAATGAAATAGTTTATTTTGGCATGGAAAAATTAGGGACTGATTTTTTGATGCTCTTCCTGAATTTTTTTTCCTTAACCCATAATTTCCTAGTCATAAACTAGGTAGTACCACAGTTCATGACTATTAGTGACATCCCTTTGCTGGTATCACAAAAAAACCTTAGGAGATTGTTACAGGTGTAGGAATGTAGGCTTCTTTATTTCACATTACTCCCCTGCCATGGTAAATCATCAGCAAACCATAAGCCAGTTCTCCTGATTGTCAAAGTAGTTATTTTATTCTGAGTAGTAATAAATAAGTGCAGATATTTTTAAAGCAAATTCTTTAGTTTCATAAAGCAAATGCAGAGTTGAGCCTTGTGGTGTTTATTGATTCCCTGCTTTGTAACAATGATGTTATTAATAACAGACATTTATATATCACTTAAAGGTATGTCAGGTGCTTTAAATACAATCCCATTTGAGCTCATAACCACCCTGTGGGATGGGCATTATAAGCATCATCCCTATCTTAGAGATGAGGAAACAAGCTCACAAAAAGGGAGGCCCACAGACATGTGACCCTCTAGGTCTTCAAGTGTTACCCTTTGACTGAATCCAAACTTCACAGAATAAATCCCCCTTAATAAAAGGATTTGTTCTGTAAACCTTGGACTCAGTCCAAAGGCTGCACCCAAGGACCTAGAAGGCCACAAGTTCCCCGTCCTGGTCTTGTCCATGGTCACACAAGTAGTAGGTGTCAGAGGGAGAATATGAACCTAGAGGTTTCTGATTACAAGTCTAATAACTCTTTTTCTAACACAGTATGCTGCCTCCTAGACAGCTCTAGACGACACTTTTCAAGTCCTCTAAAATCTAGGTTATTCTTTGAGCAGAATGTTTTTGCCCAGATCCCAGAGAAGTTTATATCTTTAGTCATGTTTGAATCTAGTGCTTTTCTTCAATCTCTCGAACCTTATTCTTCATTACGATTTTTGTTCTTTTAAGCCCCCAAGACATTTAATCTCTGTTGGAAGATGCTGCCATTTAGCCATTCATTTACATGCCCACAATCATTAACATGTTCACAAATAAATGATCAACCATTAAGATATCAGTAATGCCAAGTTAACTAGACAATAGATACCCTCAAATTAAGTCCAAATGGAATTCTGAGACAGCGTGAGCCCTTTGGTCTTTAGTTAAAAATTATATGCATCAAGTGTTCGGACAAAAGTAAAAGAGACTTCAGAAATCTAAATTAAAATCTCATCTCCTAAAAGAAGGCTTTCCTGATCATCCTTAGTTCTAGTGCCTTTTCTCTATTGATAGTTTCTGGTTTATCTTGTATGTAGTTTATTTGTACAATCTAATCATACTTTATTCCTCAGTTTCTCTTTATGTATGTTGTATATATCTCTTTATATGTTGCCTCTCTATTAGAAAGTAAGTTCCTTGAAGGAGAGAGTTTCTGGCACACAGTAAGCCCTTAACCAGTGTTTGTTGATTGACTGAATTAGATTAGAATGCCCTAAGAATGCTATTCTGCTGGTGAGGCATCTGACACTGCTATGGTGTGCTTCTAGACTCATACTCTAGAGAAACCTTTCAGCCAAGAGATCTTCTGTTGTTTGCAGTGAGATTTGACAACTCTGTGGTGGTACTAACAGCAATGTGAAATACAACTAATAAATCAAGTGAGTGAATGAATGAAGCAAAGGGAGCCGGAATGGGGTTGAATGCTAAGAAAAAAAGCACAGTAAAACTTTTGTACAAATTAGATAACACTGACAAAATGGGACCTGGAGCAGGGGTCTGGCTTCTCTTTCCATCTCTGATATACTGGTTTTCTTTATGGCTTTACCATCACTTGAGTGCAAAAGTTTCTGTGAGATTAACTTTATAATTAGATGGTCATACCTTGGTTTCTGGCCTTGTGGTCAAAATCATGCTAGACTTTGAGCCAGGAGGGATATGGATTGAAGTAATGCTGCTAACACCTGATAGAATAGCATGTCATTAAGACTTGATGCCATTTGTTAGATGTATCTTAGTGTGAAATCCACATAAAGTAAAACATAGCAATATTTTATCGTGTTTTCCACTGGATTTTTTTTTCCTTATTTATAAATACTTTGTAGATGTGTAAAATCTAAAAGCCCTCTATTAGAATTTACATATTAATAATATCTATTGTTTTGGTGTAAAGTTTAATTTAAAATAGTAGAAACAAATTTAAAGTATTTCTAATTTGAAACAACCTTTCCTTTTTTTAAAGAAATGTATTTATTTTATAGGGACAGAATTACCTGGTCAGGTGATTTCTATTGCTGCTTCTACACTGGCCACATTTGCCATATCCATCACAGGGTATGAGCTAGGACAAGAAGAAGTTAATTCAACACAACAACCCACAGGTGACTGAACTGTGTAAGAATATAACATAAAATTATAACATCTTATGATCATGTGTGTCGGGTTTATAAAACTTCTTGACTTTTCTTGTTACTACTCCATTTAAAAAATTTTCTCCTTTCTTCTTAATCCTAATCTCATGTATGTGTGTGTGTGTATTTTTTTTTAACCTTATATGCTTTTTCTTTTGTTCTGTGTTTACATTTTTATCTGGTTGCCTATCCCCTCCCCTTTTTTCCTTCTTTTCCTCTTTTTCTTCTTCTTTGCTCTTTTTCCTTTTTATTTTTGCCTTGTTAAAAGGATACTTAATAAACAAGTTATTTCTGAAGTTTTCTTTGATTTCTTCTTTATGTCTCAGAGTTTTTTTCCTCTCACCTGTAATTTTTTTTCCTATTCTGTTCTGTTATTCCTCATCTTCTTGGGATACCCTGTACCTCTACTCTTTTTTCCCTTCCTTAACCCATTTCTTTTTTTTTCTTTACTCCTTTTGATCTATTTTTGATTTTTTGCCTCATTTTTCCCTTCCTTCCATCTTCACTCACTCTAATTATCTTTTATGGATGTCTTCCTTTTCCCTGTTTTTCTTTTAGAATGGAGAAGGGGATCTTACTGTTGATACTTCTGTGCAGCAAGTGATTTGGTTGATACTTAACTCCAGTGAGTTTCCCCAGTGGTTCAGTAGGAGCTTTGCCAATACCGGGCTTTAGTTTCCGCTGCCTGGACTTAGACAGGCATATACTAGTTCTTCTGTCCAGAGTCCTCTCTGTTCTTCTTGTTGTATTTTTCTCTGTAGTCTAGGCATAACTACTTATGATGGGGATTCGACTTTGGCAATAGTAGGGGAGTGGTTATGACCTTCAGAGCACCAGCAGAAAGTGCTTGCCTGAGGGCTATATAAAGTATGCACAGCTGACTCCTTAATGGTAGAGGGAAAAGTTCATTATCATTAAAAAACATAGAGTAAAGGGATAGTACCTTGGGTGGTAAGTATAGCAGAAGAAACACCATTGCTGTTTCTGGTTCAGGTTGTCTGTCTGCTCCACCAACCTTCCTCTGACACCTGTTTGACTGGGCACAATTCTTGGTCTTGGTCCTTAGTTTTCTCATCTGTAAAAGAAGAGGGTTTGATTAGAGGCTTTTGAGGAACCATGATCCTATGATCCTTCCCAGTGGTCCCTATTTTGTAATCTTACTTCCCTCTACTCCCTCTGGCAGACTTACGGTATTTCACTACATATTCAGCACAGATTTTATGGCAAATTTTTGCAAAAAAGGTGACATGTGACCATTAGGTGAAGCTTTAAAAATTGTAATGGCATTACTTAAAAATCTTTCATTACTAAACTGTCTTTGGCACAAGATAAGGATGCATGGAATACTTGTGAATATGTGTTAAAATCGAATACTGACAGTGCATATGCAATGAGAATTCTATGCTCATGGCTCTCAATGCACAAGAGATAAATGCTTATTTGTATGCCACTGGGGAATACATTGCTGCTCTGTTTACCTTTTAAGCAGTGTGATGAACAGAATTATACCATGTAATGATTACACATGATAAAAGATTTTAAACCAATCTTTGGACTGAAAAAACTTTACTTGAGAGTAGAAGGACATATAATGTATGTACACATAAGCAGATATAAAGACATTATAAAAAGGAGAAAGTAATAACAAATAGAGGAATCAGTTATTTCCAGATATTGGAGATCCCATATGCAAAAGCATGGAAGGATTTAATATTCCTATGGGATTCAGTGTTCTTCAGAAACAAGCTTTTAAATAATTTAATGCTAACTTTAAAAAATTTTAAATTATATTTCACTCTGTGTCCTAAGGGATATGACAAGTACTAAATTTAAGAACACTTTAAAAATTTTATGTTATATTTTTATGGTTCTTATCTCTTAAAATCAAGTACAATTAAAATAAACTTTATTTTAAAAGCAAAAAACCTATATAATGTTATATGGCAAACTATGGGTCTTTTGTATGGGTCCATACAAATGGATGCCATTTGTATCAGAGGTAGATTTGTAAAAGTTCTTACTCCTAATTGTTATTTCAGCCAAACATCCTTGTCACTAATGTTTGGAAGGCTAGAATAAACAAGGCAATATACCCTACTTTGAAAGTCATATCTTCTAAAGAAATGAATAAGCCTCCTGAAAGTTTGGTTTGTAAATAAGTATTTATGAAGAGCTTTCTCTACCTTGGGATTTATATGTGATAAATTGACAGACATTTTTAACCATTAATAAATATTTTATAGGTATAGTAATTTGTATGCTCTAAATTGTTTACTAAAATCACAGAATGCTAGAACCTTAGAAATAATTTTTCCCCCTTTTTATTTACTGAGAAGACCAAAACCCAGGAAAATGGTGAGTTGCTTAAAGTTTCATTGTTAGTGGCATAGCCAGATCTAAATGCCAGATTGTCTGTCAAACAAAAAGACAAAACAAAACTTATCAAGTGAAGATAGGACCAAATGTTAAAAGCTTGGTTTTTATGAATGCTAGTACCATGCCAGTCTACTATACCTAGTAGAAATTTATTTTTTGTGGTTAATGTAGCATATATCAGAAGTCTTTGTATTTTACTATTTGAATAATGTGTGTGTCTTTCAAAACTTAAAATGGAATAGATTGATCAATTGCCCAGTAATGGTGTTCAATAGAAATTAATAGAGTATACAATTTTTGTTCTTCTTATAGAAACTGCAAATGATGGAGAATCCATTTGTACATTTCCTTCTTCTTCCACTGCCTCCTCCCCATCTCCCACTTTGGGCAGACAGAGGCCTGAGGTTGGAACATTTCTTAGAAAGAAGAAAACCAGTGATGTCTACTTTGTTACCCTTGTATGGGCCATCATCATAGTCCAGATCTGGTTGAATTTGTGGATTGTCCAGTTGCTTCCAGTGCCTATTGCAGGTCATCACGTAGTTTATTGCTCTCTTTTCCATTTCCAGTTGAACTTTTATGAGTTTGCAAGTAGTATTTGAGTGTAGAATCAATTTGCAGGATGTTAGAGATCATAGAGAAGCCTAATTATTTCTATTTATGCACAGTGTGATGATATGCACAAGGAAAAGGAAAGTGAACAAACAACCTAGTTTGATATGTTATGAGAGCTAACCTTTATTTACTTTTAAAAGTTACATCATGGGGCAACTAATTAGTGCAGTAGATAGAGCACTGGCCCTGGAGTCAGGAGGACCTGAATTCAAAGGTGGCCTCAGACACATAACACTCACTAGCTGTGTGACTCTGGGTATGTCACTTAACCCTGATTGCCTCACCAAAAAAAAAAAAAATTACGTCTTTTTCATTGGCTAAGATAGCAATTTCAGTTTAAGAATTGAATTTTTAAAGCTGAGAAATATGTTGAATTAAATGTATTCACACACACATACTTTGAGTTATATTCTTTTTCATAGACATCCTTAAGTACACATACCAATGTTACTGGCTTTTCTGCTTTAGTAGCTTGATGGCTTTCAGTCAAACCTTTAATGCCTTGATCCTTTGAAGGGAAAGGTACAAGGCATAGCAGAGATTGAACATACATCATGCCTATATGTTATTTCAGGAAATCCCTAGAAAGCCCTTTGTTGAATCTGGAACTTGGGGTTATGGTTTAAAAAGTGTGGTTTTTAGAAATCATCTTCCTGAATGGTCCCAGAAGGCAATGTGATGTGGCAGCACAAACATGAAAGACAGAGTTGCTGCTTTAAGGTCCTATTATCATTTAGTCTGTCAAGAGTAACCACACTTTGAGGGTGCTTAGTCATCACCCTAAACTGCAGGGTGATGGTAGGGACCTTGGGATGATCTTGGAACAGAGGTTGTGACCAAAGGAAACCCACCAAGGATTGTAGTTACCCAAAGGGTCTTTTTCAGACTTGGACCAATCCTGAAGACTGTGTAATACTTGCCTTAGGGTTTAAAATAATCTGGAGCCTCTTTCTAGCTCAAGCAGGAAAAACTTTATTGGAATTCCTCCACTCAAAGGTCAAGGTTCAATGCAGGAAGACCAACTTGATTCCAAACCTGGGTCAGGAAAACAGAAGTCCTTTTCTTAGTGTAGGACCATAGAGAACCAAGCTAATACTAGTTTTAGGAAGCAAGGTAGATAGGCAAGATTACCAGAGCCGAGTGACATGGCTTACTTAAGCTTTGAACTACTTTTGGCCCATATATTTTCAGTCTTGCTAAACCCCTGCTTTGATAACCAACATAGTTCTCTGCTGAGTCCTAAGAGTAGATGATAGAACACAGGGAATTATCAAAAAAAAAAAAGTACACCAGATATAAAACTAAAAATATTCTACAGTAGTATGAGATCATGGCAAATCCATATCTGGAGTACTATATGCTATTTTAGTTGATAAATACTTCAACATATAAAGGAGATGGGTGGAGAAAGCCCAGAAAAGAGCAGCTAAAATAATGAGGTGTTTGTGGGGCTCCATTTGAAGGCAAATAAAAAGATTCATATTCTTCCTTCTGGAAAGATGAAGGCTGTGAGATATGTTTGAAAATAGTTTTTCACATAATTCTGGACTGTTGCAACCAGAAGGCAGCTCTTAAATCTTGAATGGTGTAAATTTAGAGCAAATACAAAGTAACTGGTTCATTTATTCAGCATTCATTTGTTTGTTCAATAAACAATTGCATATAACAAGTAATACTAAATGAATGTAACTTAGTACCTTGAGGTAATATAAAAAAAAGTATAAATATATTTTAAAAGGCTTCAATAAATTATTAGATTTTAGGATTGTTCCATAAAAACTAGATCAAGCCTTAATTACAGTAGAAATTAAGTTAATTACTTCTGAGCTTAGCATTTTGAGGATCTTGTCACTTTCTCATGACTATCTTTTTACATTTGAGGGACTGTCATGTGGCAAAGGACTTAGATTTCTTTTACGTGGCCCTGTGACCAGGGGTAGGAGCCTTGAATAAAAGTTGCAGAAAGATAAATTTGTAGTTTGATTAAAGTGAAAAATTCATATCTAGTAGGATATGAAGTAATCTAATTTGGATTATAATATTCAAAAGTAAAACAGACTTCTTTGGTAACTAGTGACTTCCCCTATTACTGGAAGTCTTTTCTTTTTTTTCTTTTTTCTTTTTTTTCTAAGGCAATTGGGGTTAAGTGACCTGCCCAACGTCACACAGCTAGTAAGTGTCAAGTGTTTTGGTCCGAGGCCGGATTTGAACTCAGGTCCTCCTGACTTCAGGGCCAGTGCTCTATCCACTGCACCACCTAGCTGCCCCTAATACTGGAAGTCTTTAACTGTAACCCAGAAGACCCCTTGTCATAATTGTTGTAGAGAGAATTACATAAAATTATTGCAATTTAAAAAACAAATTCACAGATCCTAGGTTTACAGCCTCTGATCTGAGGTGTTTCTCCTTCTAAAAACATTCTAGAAATCTATAAAATGATTTTAGTGGATTCTGTTAAGTACATGAGCATAGTTATTTCCTTTTCCATGAATCTTTAGGATAAAAATTAAGGGTAGAGCTTTTTAAAATCTTTGTTCTTTTCATTTTTTAAAATTGATTACAGTCTGGATACTCAAAAAACTGATTATACACTTTGGAGTTGTGAACTTCTTAAAGAAACGTTGCTATGGATGGTGGCAAGTTCTGGAAAAATTTTTGAAGGAACGGCAAGAAGCTCTCACACCATGGCCCATTATAGGGCTTGGAAAGTTCATGTTAAAAGTTGATAGCAAGGTACAGTATTTCAGGGGGAGGGGGGAAGTGTTTTTTTGCTGTAGTGTGTTGTTTTTAACATTTCAAATAATAAGTATTTTATTATTTGAAAGACAACTTCAGAAGTACTAATAAATGAGTTCTGTGTTGAATCAGTGTTTTCCTTCTTGCAGTCAGTGATTTCACTTTTAATTTCTTCTAGGTGTATATTGAGGGACTCCTTCTTTACAAGGGAGTAGCAAAACCAAGATGGAGTTGTGATCTGAATGTTTTATATTCTTAATTACAGGGGAACATGTGATTATATGAGAAGCATTTTATATGTCACAAACCAGAAAAGGCCTAATTTAATCTTCTTTCTTACAAAAGTTCAGTCTTGTTTCTGTAATAGAATCTTAATATGTATTCTTCAAAGCCCAGATACAGATACAGGATTCATTTTTAAAGCTACATATTGCACATTTTTAGGAGATTTAATTTTATGTCAAGTTTAGTGGAAAGAGGATGGGACTTGGAGTCGTATAACTTGTCCTCATTCTTCCATCTCCTCTGTGACACTGGAGACATTGTTGATTCATAATCCCTAGGTGAAAGATAATCTCATGCTACTCCCTAATTATTTTTCACTTTCAAACACAGTGGAAGAAACAGAGGCTGAAAGTGCTGAACCTTGATTCCCAGGTCAGTCATGGCATAGCTGAGACTCACAACCAAGTTTCCTGACTCTTAATTTCATGCTCTTAAATCTTTTTAAACCTCATTTTATACATTTGTAAAATGAGGATAATAATAATACAATACCTTCCTGATAGAGTTGTTATAAGGCCAGCATTTGTAAACAGGAAAGAAAATATTATTATTTATATTATTATTTTATTTTTCACATTAATTCCTCATTTACAGCAGAAAGTTAAAGGAGTTCATTATTGTCTTTTAAATCAAAACAGATATTCAGATAATTGGAAATTAAACTATATATAAATCAATTGTAGATATTTGTGAGTTGTTTTTACTTTATCAGGAGAAAGTCTGTCACTAAATGCAATAGAAATTTAAATTATCTTATTTAAAACTAATTTGCCTAGTTTTAATATTTTTCTTCAGTGTCAAACACATAATTAAATAAACTGTTTTCATTATGTGAAGTGCATATATGTATTTAAGATTGAAATGACCTTCAGTTCAGTCAACACTGAAAACCCTTAACATATTTGATTATCAAATCACTCATAATTCATTATTTACTTTACTTTTTAACCTGAAGACCTGACATTCAAACCCAAGAGCCCTGACTCCAAATTTGAAGCTAACTTAACGTCGTCCATATTTCTTCCTTCACCTCTTCGGGATGCTTTTTAAAAGTTTTATGCTATATGCATCGTAACATTTTAGATTAATGAAACTTACATTATATTCGTTTGCGTACTTTTTATAAAAGTGTGCCTGAAATGCCTTCCCACACCACCACCCAGCCAGCCCTATGGGAACCAAAGTAGCATTATCTAGATTTATCTCCTATGTAGGTTTTTTAAATGTGTGAAGTTATTCGCGACATAGAACAGTAGGTTAAAGCATATCTATTCTTGTAGAAAAATGCTTTAAAAACAGAATGTAAACATCAATTCATGAATTTCTTGGATTAATTTGATCTACTGCTTGTAAAAACGACCTTCACAAATGTAAGTCTAATCTTTGGGGTTTTAATATAATTGGTAAAAAGAAAACTCTTCAAACATTTCATTTGTGCCTTTATAATTATTTAATTATACTAGCAAAATTTTACTGTCAACATTCACTTAGTGGAATATGGTGGATTTTAGGGCATGAAAATACTGAATTACAAGTTTCTCTACTCTTTTTTTATTCTTTCTTAGTTTCTTTTTGTTCAGGAACGGTTTTGTTCTCATGTTTTGGACAAATTTCTTTATCTTTTCCCTTCATTGCATTCTCTAATAATCTTCTACTGTTCTTCTCTTCTCATTTCCACCCCAATCTCCAAGCTCTGGCATTGGCTTAATAAAAAGGTAAATAAACAAACATATTGGTTGCTACTAATAACACATTGGGGGGAGTTTTCCTAACCTTGCTTTTCAAGTCTGTTTCCTTCAGAAATCCCAACTGTCATCATAGTTTTTTGTGTAAGCTATGGAAGGTCATAAAATACCAAAATTGCCATAGTGTTCATGATAACTTGTTTAAAATTAGAGATGTGATGAAATCCCCATCCCTAAAGAGCTTAAAAATTCCTTGCTTTGTCATGGCCAGCCAGAAGCCCACATCTGCGTAAAGGTTCACAAATTAGGAATACATAAAAATATTAAATATTTACTGAAAAGGAAACAAACCACACAAGCCCTTCTGTTGGTGTTAATTTCTTTTCTTAATAAAATAATTGCTTATTAAGTGCCTGCTGTGTGCCAGGCACTATGCCAAGCACTGAGTGTGCAAAGACAAAAATTAAAAGAGTTTTTGCCCTCAAGGAGTGTACGATCTATTGGGGAGGCAACAGGAACCTATATACTTCACAAGATCATCTATTCAGATTCAGAAAGGTCCTTGGAGGCTATCTAGTCCAATCTACTCATGTCACAGTTAAGGAAACTGAGGCCCAGGGAAGTCTAATGATTTGCCCAAGGTCAAACAGATAATTAGCATCAGGGACTGGATTTGTATCCAGGTCCTCTAGTTCCAGAGTCAGCAATTCTGCCCCACATGAAATAGATATAAGTTGTGAAGAGGAGGGTACCGATATCTGGAGGGCATCAGGAAAGGCTTCATGTAGAAGGTGATGTTTCAGCTGAATCTTGAAAGAAATTAAGGAATAAGGAGGTGAGTTCATTCCAGGCATGAGCAAAGGCAAGGGGACAATTGTGTGTCTTTTCCACCTGGTTCTGTTCATTTCACTCTGTCTCAGTTCATACAAGTCTCTCCAGTTTTCTCTGAAACCATCCCTTTCATCATTTCTTGTGGCATAATAAGATTCCATATATTCATTTACCATAATTCATTGTTTAGCTTTTAAAGACCTTCACAGCCTCCCTTTCCAGCCTCATCATTTGCTACCTGTTCCCACAATCTGCTATTCATGAAGCCAGACTGGCCTTCTTTTCCTATACGGGAACCCTCTTTCCCTCTCTGGAATGCCTCACTCTCACCTCATAGAATCTCTCTCTTCCCTTCAAACCAGAGCTCATGCTATACTTTCTACAAAGACCGTTCTTGAGACATCCAGTTGCCAGAACCACCTTCCCCACCCCAACTATGTTGTATTTATTCTGTATATATTTATATTTGTACATGTCATCATTCCAGCTCGTTGAGTGTAGCTCCCTGTTACCTCCAGGATCAAATATAAAATCTTCTGTTTGGCTTTTTAAAAGCCCTTTATACCTTAAAGACTCTTTTTAGAGCCCTTTCCTATCTTTCCATCTTTTTATACTTTACTCCCCTCCTGTTCCTCACACTGGACATCTCCCAACTTGAGGCATTTTCCCTGGCTGTTCTCCTTGCCTGGAGTTCTCTCCCTCCTCATTTATGCCTCCTGGCTTCTCTGGCTTCTTTCAAGTCTCAGCTAAAACTCCACATTTGGCAAGAAGCCTTTTCTCACCCTTCTTAATCTTACTATCTTTTATCCTGTATACATTATGATTGTTCCTGGTTGTTTGCATATCTTCCCCCATTAGACTGCAATCTCTTTGAGAACAGGGACTGTCTTTTACCTTTCTTTATATCCCCAGTGCTTAGAACAGCCCTGGGCACATTGTAGGCATTTAATAAATGTTTGTTGATTGATTAGTTATGTAGCCTAAGGGAGAATAAAGATTCAAAGATGATTCCAAGGTTGCAAACCTGGGTCACTGGAAGTTATCATTGTATCTTCAAGAGTGATACCTTTGAGAGAAATAAGGAGTTTTAGAAGAAGGGTTAATTGAGTTAGAATGATAGATGCCCTGAGGTTGTGGTTGGAGAGAAATAATGAGATGTTTTGGTTATGTTGAAGGTGAGGTACACCATTTGAAATGGCTAACAGGCGATTGGTGATGCAGAACTTAATTTTATCTAATCCCTGAACAGATACCGAGAGGTAATATTCTAGATAAACACAGCTTAAATGTAATACACTTTTTGGAAATACTCTATCAGGTTCCAAGATGGGCATGTTACTCACTAAAAGCATTTCTTTCACTGTAAGGTAAGAGTATACTTGGTTTAAAAAGTGAAGGAAAAGTGAGGATACCACGAACACCTGAACTTCTGAATTTTGGGTAGACAATAAAAATATTTAATTTATAATTAATTCTGTCAGTATTGACCCTTGCCTGAAATCTGTAGGGTTGTATTTTCCTCCTGTGCCCAAAACAGCAATCTTTGTCTTTCCCAATTTAAGTAAACTTTAAAGTTGTGTTTTTACTAAAACTTGTAGGAAATCCTTTACTTATTTATATGTAGCTAAATGGTATTTTTAAAACATAACTGTTGCCTTTATGGTATAATGTGAAAAGAAGTTGTTTCTAGGATTGTAAAGCAAAGGATTTTTCTTTCTTTTAATTGATTGTAACAGTTGTGTGGTCCTGAAGGGAGATCACAGTTCAAATGAGTTAAGTTGCATTGACAAGTTGTGACATTCGAGTCTACTATTTATGGTTACTTCTGAGTAGCTACCAAGTTATCATTTTTTAAAACTGTCCAAAATGACTACTCCCCTTGTAGCGTGAGGGTTCAAAAGTCTTACCAGGAAGCAAATTTATAGGGCAAAATCATCCTCTGCCTGAAATAATAGATAATAAAATCCAAGAGGAGCAGCTAAATGGGCTATACTTAACAAAAGTAATATTAGGCTTTAAGGATAAAAATAATTTTTTTTGTCTAATTGGACCCAAGTAGAACTAAACATAATCTACTCAGTTTATGTTTATGTTCCCATCGTGTTAACATGATCTGTAGTTTTCACTCACATTAAGCCTACTTTTTCCTGGTTAGTTTCACTTCTCCACTTTCTCCCAGCTGAGTTGTTTGTTTCCCCACAATTTATTTCCAGTAGTATCCAGATAGACAAAAGGTGAATTTGATTTTTCCAAAGCCTAGTGTAACACAAATACTAACTCATAGAACCCAGGTCCCTAAACTTCAAATCCTGATTTTCTTTCTTTTGCACCCAAGTCATTTTAACCTCTCTGAGCCTTAGCTACTTCCTCTGTAAAAATGAAGGGATTGGACAAGATCATTTCTAAGGTATATAACCCTGGCACGTAGCAGACGCTTATCTAATAAATGCTTCTGGATATATGTCACACCTTGTTTACCATGGACAAAATCATTACTTTTTCATAGAATTGTGGAATTTAGCACTGGAAGGGCTGCTTTAGAGCTAATATGATGATCTTCTCAGGAGATGGGTAGCAGTCATTGCATTGATCAGAGACCTTATGTCTTTCAAAATTGTTCATTTTTACAATGTCATTAAACATAACTTGTTTTCCTGGTTCTGCTCAATTCACCCTATGTCAGTATATGTCTTCTTAGGCTTTTCTGAAGCCATCTTTTTGTGTCCTTTTCATTTCTCACCTTCTATGATTTGTTCTGTCTAATTTAGTTTTTGTTTCTTTGATTCTCTTTGCTTGTCTATCTGACCCTTCCCTTCAGTTTTCCATTTCTGGCCCTTAGCTAGCTATCCCATGGCCTAAGAACAAATTATCGATCACAAACTTAATGAATAGAGTTTTATGTGCCCTGTTCTTAAGTTTTAAAGTATACAAATAAAATGTTTTCTAAATCTTAAAAACAACAGTAACTCAAATTAAGTTCCTTTTTTACTTTGCTAGCTCTTGGTTGATTTCTTTCTAGAGGGCTGTGGCACTTAAGAGAAAAAAAAATTTTCTCATCCCCAGTCTAAATGCTAAGGTTGGCTATGAGTGGAGATTATTAAAAAATTGAGTTTTTATAAATATTCTAAATGTATACATTTTAGAATATCTGTAATTAAGATATGTACTGTTTATATATAATTTATTTTCTGTTATAGATATATAGATAAGTATTTATAATTCCTAAGGAATTTATTTTAAAAAATACTGTCTAGGAATATCTAACTGTATTTTAAATAGAAAATGTAATTGTTTTATTGAATAGACATATAGCATAAGTGTCTTCGACTTCAGAATGTCTAATTTTACATAAATTTGTATAGCTTTCTTTTTTATTAATTTCAAAATTTGATATATCTTAAAAAGACCTTCCATATCTTAAATGTCTGTTTATTACCCTACAGTTGCTTTGTCTTGGGTGTTTTGACAGCATGCACTAGAAATTAATCCTTTTGATTTATTGTCATTAATTTTAATAAAATATATTAAAGATAAGCTTTATTGTCCAGGATAAATCTAGTTTTGATCTAGCGACAGTAGCCTCAATTATGTATATAATTACGTGGAAGAAATGGGAGAAGGTAACTTAGAAACCAATTAGTCAATAACCTTCTAATAGTAATTAATTTTTTTGGTTTTTTACTGGTTTTCCATGGTAAAAAAATTTTAGAAAAACTTTTCACGATACTTTTTCATCATTATTTTGTTTTATTAATTCAGGTGGTATGTATATTGGCTCTTCTGGCAAAATACATGTCAGTAAACCAAATTTAAATATTACTAATATAACAAGTCTATAGAAACAGAACATTACTATTACTGCTAATGGAATCACTTTGGTTCACTTGTAAATAGTAAAGCAGTTTAGAATTCTGAAGCATGTAGTCTTTCTCCTCAGAATCATTAGTAATAAAGGAAAAAATAACTCCATTTTCTCTGTGCACAATTATCTTCTTTCTCAGATATTAAATATCTTTGTTCAGGAAGGAAAATATAGATTTCAGTTGCAAAATTATTCAACAAATTAGTCTCTGAAGGGAATACAGTGTTACTTTTCAGCAGTGACCACTAGTAAAATGGTAGTGTTGAAATAACCCTAATGGTGAAGATCAGTGCCAGGATCTCAGTGTTTATAAAAAGGTGGGATAGTAACAGAAATTTCACATGTGGAAGACATTGCCATATTTTTCAGACCCATTTAATGAATAATATGTCTTATTGTGCAAACTTCAGAAAACAGAGGTGTTTTTTGCTTTTTACATTGAGTAGCATTTAGAGAGATAGTGATTATAATTAACCCAAAAGAAAGATCAGTTAGTTTGTGAATGCCTTTATTCATAAACATTTTTCAGTCATTTTAATATATTAATTCCTTTGGTTTTAATAAGTCAAGATTTTCCTACTTGTTTTTTTATGAGATCTAAAAAAAGTTATTTTCCCATTTGACCCTATTGCTTTTATTTTCCTCGTATTAATGTGAGACAACTGTATTACAGGTGATGTAGATAATACTTCTGTACTCTTCAGTGGTTAGATGTGATTTTAGTCTGTAAATATTTCTTTATTATAATTTTCTTTAAATTAAACTTTAGTAAAACTTGGCAGTGCTTCAGGTTTATTTTTAAATTGCCTGTGTGAGAGTGTGTGTGTGTGTGTGTGTGTGTGTGTGTGTGTGTATTGACAGGTGTTAATAAAAACCTAAACTTTGAAAATTAAATGTACGAAACTCTACTTTCCCAGATTTTTTTGTGAATGCTCCCTAAATTCTTCTTAATAAGAACTCAAGACAAATAAATATACGTGATGTTTAAATTGGATGCCATTTTTTAATATGAGAATTTCCAGGAGGATTTATAATATAAGTTGGTGTATGTGTGTAATTTAATTTGCATATTTGCTTACATTTTAGCATTTTTCCAACAACAATTTTTGTAATGCCAAGAATGTATTTGGATAAATAAGGAAAATTTGATGGAATGACATTTTGTAAATCCTGTTTTTTTACCCTTTTTTTGCACAGATGATCGTGTGGTTGGAGAAAATGCTGGATAAAATAATCAGCATTTTCATCATATTTTTGCTAGTAATAGGAACCCTTCTTCTGGCCCTACTCCTTACAGCAAAGGTATGGTATTTAAGATTTTGTTTGGAATTAGCATCATAAGACATGGCTAGCTCTATTATTTACACTAGCACAAATACTGCTATCAGTATACTCCTAAATGTTATTTTTGTCTGAACTAGAAAAGTAATTAATGCACAGTAATAGACATTTAGCAAATGTCTGAATTGAATTTATGTATGTATTAATACATTAAATACCTTTATTATTAACACACTTATAATAGCTTTTAAATGGTTTCTGACTTTTCTTATACTAGTTAGATAGCTTTCTGTTTCCTACTGTCTTTAGTCATCCAGGCTCATGGTCCAGTTAGATTCAGCCGTGGTCTAGCTTTTTTCCCCATGCTAATCCCTGCAAAAAGTGCTGCCACAAACTGGTCTTCTCTACTGACCCTTCTGTGGCATTCCCTTCTCACTGATGGAGCTAAAAAGAGACATAATCTCCCCTAAGACTAGCGGACTAGTCCTGCCACTAGATCCAGCTTCTTCATTACTCTCAGGAGGTTGTACTTGGCACATGAATCCCTATCTCACCCCTCTAAAGGGAGAGAGTTACTATGTTGCAGCTCACATTTAGAAAATATTATTAAATGATTGTGAACATTAACCAAACACTCTCTCTTCAACTCTGCCCACAATAAGATTAGACATGACCTATTAAAGATAAAGCTGAGCTTCCTTTACCATACAGGTAGAAAACTTCTCTGTAGTTCTGAGTCTTGGAGAGCTTCCAGGGCACTGAGATATTAAAGGATTTGCGTTTGCTGTCACACCCCAAATGTGTCAGATGCAGGATTTGACTCGAGGTCTTCCAGACTGTAAGACTAGCCCTCTGCCTCATATGTCATGCTGCCTTTATTTGTTGAATGGTTGATACATGCTCAATTTTAAGTTTAAGCATTTTGTGCTAGTAGTTGTTAATTTTTGAAAAAGTTTAAACGTTATTTGCTTTTCATTCAGAGTCTTTCTTTTTTAACTCAGGTGCATCAAGAGAGTGTACACATGATTCAAGTCACAAGCAGCTTAATCAATGAGACTGTCGCCAACCACCCGGAATGGGCGAAGTAAGGCCACCTTCCTGAAGTCTGGGGTTTGACCAGAGTAGTAGGAATGGTGAATGAGGTTCAGCATTCTTCCTTTGATGTGGAGACTATAATTTTTAAAAAACTGAATAGAATAGGCTCCGTTTCATGAAAGAATGCTGATTTAGTGACAAAAAATACTCTCCCCCAAATATCAAAGACATTGGAAGTCTTAACCTCCTTTGTAAAAAGTGACCCATTCTAACACTAATAGTTATTTAAGACCTCTCAACATGTTTTCACTTTGTCCAGAAGGAATGGAGACAGTTCCTAGACCTGAGATTTCATCTCCTTCTACTAAGGCCAGTTGGCACCTTCTTTGCAACTTCATGCTTAGAGCCCAGAGCATTTTGAGGTTAAGTGACTTGACCAGAGTCCCATGGAGATAGATATGTCAAAGGTGGAACTGAAACCCAGATCTTCTTCACCCCAGAGCTGGCCTTCCATCCGCTATGTACTGTCAACAGGGTTACTTGAATATAATTATTTCACTGGATTTTATAATGGAACAGGAGAGGCATAGTGACTGGAGGGCACTTTCAGTGCTATCAAGACCTGGGTTCAAGTTCTACCTGACAGTTTGTGGGCTTTGTTACCCTGGGCAAATCACTTTCCCTAATACTGTAGGGTGCAGAACTTGTGCCAGTATGTATTGGTAGAGGGGGTTTTCTCATTTGAAGTTCCCAGTACCAATGAAATTACAAGTCCAATCCTTCCTCCCTCCCCCAGCCCCTCACAAAGCAAAAACAATGAACTCCAAGTTAACACAGTCAGTTTGTTCCTGTTACTTATCTTTGGAATTAAATCTCCTTAGATGCTCCTGTCTTTGTTTACCGTAATTTCATTTCTCTTAGGTCTATTTAGAAGAATAAGAGCTATCTACCAACATCTGCCCCAGGCATCAATAGAAAGAACCATTAATTTAAAAAAAAAAAAGGCACTAAATCCAAATGTTAGTAACCTGCAGACACAGAAATGGCATTTTCTATCACATTTTGAAGTGTGTAGTACTTATCAGTTAATGTAGGGTAATTGTAATGCTTTGATATCACAGCCAATATTATATACAAAAGATTTTATTTTTTTAAAATTATTTGGAAGAGTAAAGATTGCTTAGCAGTTTACGTCTACCTTATCTTCATTCTTTAAAATTTCATAAACTACAATTTCCAATTTTTTTTACCAATAGCAAACTTTATGTAGCACCTACCATGTACCCGTAGGTACTTTACAAATATTATCTCATTTGATCTTCACTACAACTCCAGGAGATGGGTACTATTATTATTCCTAACAGTTGAGGAAACTCAGGCAAACAGGTTAAGTGACTTGCCCAAGGTCACATGGTTGATAAATACCTGAGGCTAGATTTGAACTCAAGGCCACTTGATTCCAGGCCCAGCACTCTATCCACTGTGCTGTCTTGTTGTCTCTTTAGAAAAAGGAAAAAAATTAAAAATTCAGTGTTTTATATTCTTTTTCCTATATAGTTATTATTCTAAATGAATCCTCTGGCAGAATTTATATCTCCTTAATCTATCTCAGTAAATAAAACTAAACAAGTCTAGATGACCCTAGAGAAATCTAAGACAACTAAAGTGGAAGTTTTTGGAGAGAGAAAAGTAAAACCTAGAGTGCAGAAGAAATACCCCTATAGAGAACTTAGGCCAGATCCAGGAGACAGGGTTAGAATGGACAAAGCTTCATTTCCACCACTGAGGCAGCTTATATGTGTGTGTTCATGACTCTGTGTTCATTATCTGGTGTTTACTAAAAAATATACTTTATTATTTTTTCCTTTTTTTTTTTTTAAAAACTTCAGTTGGCTTCCTGAAGCTCAGGTAGTTCAAAGAGCTCTCAATTCTGCAGCTAATAACGTCTATCAGTATGGACGAGAATGGATAACACATAAGGTAAGGTGGGAAAGATATCTTTTTTTTCTGTTTCCTTTTTGTTTGCTATGTTTTTGGCAACTCTTTGCTTTATTATCAAATAATGGAGGATACAGTTTAACTAATTTCTTGGAGAGAATAGAGAATAACGTATGAAATTGAAGTTTCAGTGTTGTTATTGATGATAGTTGAACATTAATTTAATGAACATGAGACATGAGTCATGAATATACACACACATAAGCTGCCTCAGTTCTCTATAGGGATCTTTCTTCTGTACTCTAAGTTTTACTTTTCTGTCTCCAAAAACTTCCACCTTCCACCATCAAGATTATGATCAGTTTTAGCTTTGTTTGCTGACAGTTTCATCACTTAGGTTGAAGAATCAGACTAGGTAGCACTTAATTTTGATTAAAAAACTGATGGGTGGAGTAGAGGTGGCATGAACATCAGGAGAAAAGTGGCCTCCCAGTAGAGTTTGAGGTAGCCAAAGAGGAGAAAACCAATCATATTTAAATATATTGTGGATTGCAGAAAGTTAAGGGAAAAGATCGATGTGGATGGAAGCTGTCAAAAGTGAAATTCTAGCAATACATCACAAATTATTTCTGAGACAAAAAGAAGGGGGATACATTTCAAGAAACAATTGCGGCTTGGAGAACATGATAGGAATATATTCCAAAGGAAGGTGAGTCTCATGAGTGTGACAGGATGAGATCTAATAATAATCACTAGTGGAGCAGCTGGTGGCAAAGTGGATAGAACACCAGCCCTGGAGTCAGGAGGACCTGAATTCAAATCCGGCCTCAGACACATGATACTCACTAGCTGTGTGACCCTGGGCAAGTCACATAACCCCAATTGCCTCGCAAAAAAAAAGAAAGAAAGAAATTAGCATTTGTATGGTGCTTGAAGTTTACGAAGTGCTTTACATATTTTCTTATTTGATCCTTACAACAACCTTGTGAAATAGATGCTAATATTATTAATATTATCCCATTTTTTTAAAAATGAAGAAACTGAGACTGAGAGATTTAGTGACTTGCTCATGGTCACATAGGAAGTAAGCATCTAGGCAGGATTTGAATTCAGGTCTTCCTGATGCCAAATCCCTTGCCCTGTCCTCTGTGTCTAGCAACCTAGGATAAAGGGAAATTTAGCAGTAGAGCAGGATTTCCAGAGGACTTAAAGCACACTGCCCTTCACTCTCTTCTGTTTTTTCTCTATACTGTTTAACTTGGTGATCCCATCAGTTTCCATGGTTTCAGTTATCTTCTCTAAGTAGATAACTCTCAGATCTACTCAGATCTCAGCACTTACCTCTCTCCTAACCTACAGCCTCGCATTTCCAGCTGCCTGCTAGACATCTCCAGTAGGATGCCCCATGGATATCTTAAATTCAGCATGTCCAAAACTGAACTCATTATCTTGCCCTCAAAACCTCTTCCCAGCTTCCCTGTTATCGTCCAGGATGCCATCATCTTTCCAGTCACCCTGACTCACAAGCTAGGTGTCATCCTTACCCTTAATATTCAGTCTTTTGTCAAGTCCTGTCATTTCTGTCTATGTGACATTTTTTCTACATGCTCCTTTTCTAATACTGTAGCCAGCCTAGTGCGGGCCCTCGTTGCCTCCCACCTTGCCTATTATGATAGCCTGATGCTTGGTCTTGCTGTCTCAAGTCTCTCCCCATTTTAAGCCATCCTCTGCTTTGCTGTCACGTAGGGCTTCTTAAAAATAAAGGAATGACCCTGTCATCTCCCTATTCAGTAAAATCCTATGGTTCCCTTTTATCTCTGCAATCAAATATAAAATCTCTGTTTGGCTTCTAAATCCCTTTATTACCTCACCTCTTCCTACCCTGCAAGTTTTCTTATACCTTATCCCCAGTCCACATTCCCTGCAGTTCAGTGACCCTAGACTCCCTGCCCTTCCACATACTAGACACTCCATCTCCTGACTTAAAGCATTTTCCTGGCTACCTCCTTTGCCTGAAGCTCTCTCCCTCCTCATCTCTGCCTGCTGGCTTCCTTCACATCTCAGCTAAAGTTCCACTTTCTGCAAGGGTCCTTTCCTAGGCCTCTTTCATCTTAGCCCTGTTAAGGACCTTCCCCCTGAGACTACCCTCAATATATCCTGTATATATCTTTGTACAAAGTCATTGCCATGTTTTCTCCTCCATTAGACAGAACTCTGAGGGCAGTCACTGTTTTTGCCTTTCTTTGTATTGCGAGTGCCTGGTACATTGTAGGTGCCAATGGTCAAGCAGAAGAAAATGGACTGAGGAGAGGCAAGGCTGAGCTGGGTGGAGATGAATGAGAAGGTGAGGAAAGGGGTTTTCTCCTCAGCCCATGGCAGCTGTGAGTCCACATAGAGTGGGAAGTAAGGGGTAGGTATTGGGTAGCTCTTGAACAGGGGCATGGTATCTGACTGGAGGACTCATGAGATGAGAGGCAGAGCAGCTGAAAAGGTGGAGTAGAAAGAACTGAGGGGGATGGCAGCAGCAGGACCTCTAACTCCCTGACTGCCAACTACAAGGCTCTTTCCTAGTCCCACTGCTTCTTTCTGTAATGGCAGCAGCTGCTCACATCTCTCCCTATGGGTGAGAGGGGGAAGAGGAACAGAAATGTCCGTAGATATTAATGATAGGACTTGAAAGAAAGGAGGCTTTTAATCCCAGGCAAGTAAAAACATCCTCCAAATGTAACAGCACTGAACTGTTGCTGGGCCAAGGGGTGCTAGGGTGCCCAGCTCCACGACTCTGAGGAGCATCTGATCCTTGGCCCGTGCTTGTGGTCTAGATTTAGTATTGCAGGATCCAGGAATTCAGAGAGAAGGTTAGACAGTCACTGTCCCTGGCTCTTTATGCCTTCACTCTGTACCCCTTGGGAAAATGACTTGAAGTTTAGATCTGGCTTATGTCAAGGATCTCCCCAAAAGAAAGAAATGAGCTACATAATGTACAGTGTGGATATATAAGACGAATTATACCACTGGACTTTAAAAAAAATTATGAACCACGCAAAAGAAATGCTAAACATAAAAGACCCACAGGGATGAACTTTTTTAAAAAGTGAAGGAGTAACTTATAACTACCATTATACTACTAGGATTACTACTAGTTGTGTGACCCTTGGCAAGTCACTTATCCTCCATCTGCCTCAGTTTCCTCAACTGTAAAATGGGGATCATAATAACACCTTCCTCCTAAGGTTGTTGTGAAGATCAAATGAAATAATATTTATAAAGTACCTGGCACATAGGAGGCACTTAATAAATGCTCATTCCCTTATTATTATCCTTAGTAGTAATCATAATAAGAAGTCGTAGTTATCATTGTTAAATAATATATATGGCCAATCATTCCTGGACTTCTGGGGTGTGCGAGTGCCCTTACACTAGGCTAGATGTAGCTGTAACTGGTCCAGGAAAAGCATATCTTTTCTTCTAAGTGCTCTGGTGAGTAGGATTCCTTTCAGTACCCCACTTGTATTCGTGCGTATTATAATGGGCCTGGTGAGAGTCAGGCTAATTGGACTAATACTTCAGTTGCTTGAGGTGAGAATTGGTACTCAGTATGGATTGTTCTTATATGCCTTCTCTAGACTCCAATCTTTAGCTAAAATTAGAGTTTTACATATGGATTTCAGCAAGATGTTTGACATTCCTTGTCAGAGTTTCTTTGTGGACAAAATGGGAAAATATAGGCTAGATCAGTATTCCCAACTACACTGAAGAATTTTTTTTCCTTTAAACTGTGAACTACTTCATCTCAGTCTCAGGCCAATAATTCTCAGTTATACTAGAGAAAGAAAAAGCAGAATATAGGAAGGAAGAATTATTTTTTGTTTTGTTTTTTGAATTTATAAGTGTTAAGAGATAAAGACTAGATATTAAAATTTTTGTGAATCAGCAAAAAATTTGTCATGGGCTAGTGCCAAATTATAAGTAAAACTGTTTTTGGATTTGTAATAGGTTGAGCAGTTGTGCCCCAAAATATGGAATAATCAATTATTGTGCAACTAAAAGGAGGTCTTCAGTATTTTGAAGTGATTTGGATGACAATGTAGAGAGCTTGGTCATCAGATTTCTGAATCATAAAAAAACCAGAAACTTCTGTGTTAGATGGCACAGGCAGGTTTCAAATCAGGAAAAAACCTGTATAAGCCAAATCTAACAAGATTAAATATGAAATTATAATTAAAGTAAAAATGATCTTTAAAATAACTGGTTGAACATGTTGAATTTAGAATGTTCTTTTAAAAATACAAGCTATGCCATGTTTAATAAATGTTTATTGTGGTTTTACTGATTGACCAACTTTGATTTTAAGAAAACATGTATAGAATATGGAAGTAAGATCAGAGAATGGAGAATGTGAAATTCTGAGGGTAGTAAAGATGAAGCTTTGCTAAAGTGGATGATTAATCCTACGGACAAGAAGAAGGCAATTTCATCTCTGTTGGACATAGGAAAGAGAAAGATCAGAGAAACCCTCCCTCTTTTCCTTCCTTCCTTCCTTCCTTCCTTCCATGCATAATCACTAGCCTTTGTAAAAAATGGAAATGCCATAGATAAAGTTTACCAAGATTTCAGCAAAGTGTATCCAAGTCTTTCATGGTATCCTTGTAGACAGTTGGAAAGATGTGAGAAAGATGATAGTGGATTTCAAACTAGACCTAAATGGCATGATATTACCTTATATTGAGGTCACTAGTGGAGAGCCTAGAGACTTGTCCTTTGCTCCCTGCTGCTCAATATCTTTATCAATGGTTTTGGATGCAGGTCACATATACTAATGTCAATTTCAAGTAAGATGAAATGGGGAAGGACCCCTAATACAATGGATATCAGAATTGGGATCTAAAATATGTACAATAATATAGACTAATGAGACAAATCTAATAAGACAAAATTTAATAAGAAAAAAAATACAAGCTATGTTTAATAGATTTGTGGTTTTATGAACAGTTTTTTCTTTTTTCTTTATATGGAAATGCTCATGTTTGGTGTTTGTGATGTACAGAATAACAAAAAGCAGGTTTTTTTCTAAAAAACAAGACCAAAAGATAAATGAAATAACTGGCTGAGTTAATAGAAGATAGTTTTGACATTTTATGTAATTGTTCCACTAATTATTTCTTAATTTCATTTGTTGATTAACATTTGTTAAATTAAATTTTTTAATACAAATACTTTAACTTTTGTTCACAAATAAGAATTATTTTGTGTTAGAAACAATCAGCTCAGATGCGGATATCCAAGCACCTATGTCTATAATGTCATTGAAAATATATTACTCTTGAAGTAAATTTACAAAAACTTACATAGGAATTGCTTTTAAACTCTAACAATAATAATCATGATTAGATCATAATGTGGTCACTTTGGAGTGACCACAGATGACAAACGCCAACACATCATGAAACAGAATTTTTCTGTGCAAAGTTAATTGGCCATTGTGATTCCTTACTCTTAACTGTTTTAGCAGTATGTTTCATTTATTCATTAGAATAAAGCTGACTAAGTAAGCAGAAGTAATAAAGAAGGAAAGCAGAAAAATAAAGAAGGAAAGAAGAGTGTTGGATTAGAGTTTTGAACTGTGGGGTGTTAATTTTTACTGTTTACATGGTTTTTTAAAAATCTGGAATACCAAAGTTTATTAGGAACATGTACATAAATGCCAATAAATTTTGTTTTCATGTTATTGTTTTCTACAATACTAAATCTGTCTTTGTGTCTATTGTAGCTTCATAAGATTTTGGGAGATAAAGTGAATAATACTGCTGTGATTGAAAAGCAAGTACTAGAACTCTGGGACAGACTGTATCACTCTTGGTTTGTAAAGGTAAGAAATGTGCAGCTTACAAAGATATGGAATATGGAAGGTAGATTTTACCTCATTATAAGGAAAAAAATCCCTAATAGAGTGGTCCAAAAATGAAAAATGCTACCTAAAGAATGATGAATTCCACATCACTGGAAGCATTCCAAACAAGTCAATGTGATTATTTGCCATGGATGTTGTAGAGGGTATTCATTCTTCAAATAGCATTTGGACTAGATGATCTCTAACATACCTTCTGACCTTTAAGATTCTATGTCAGCTGTAAATTATTTTGTAAAATCTGCTAACATATGGGGATATTGGTTTAATTAATAAGCTATTATTTTCATTTGTTGAGTATAAGGTCTCAAATTAGGTTCTGCAATTAGTCAGTAGCAATTGACCAGTCAATGTTAGACCCTAATCTGGTCGATTCTTTTATACTTACATATTTTCTTGCATAAAGTAAACAGTTCCTCCCTTATCACATTCTATTTATACCCTTCTGTTTTTCCCTTACCCGTGATACCAGAAAATTTTTAAATTTTATAATGTTAAAAGTGCATCCTCTACAGAAAAGGCCAAGAATCTCTGTCTGAAACCAACTTTTTACCAAATCTTCACAATTTCCTACCTTTCCTTTTAATCTATTTATGTTTAACTGCAAACTCACAAACAGAAAATTGTACAATGTTACTAAGTGAAAAATGGTGGCATCGAAGTAACTACTAGAATTAGGTATGTGCTTGCCCAACTAGTGCAAACTTAGCAGGAATTATGAGCTGAGGACGAATCACAGAATGGAAAAGGGAGTAGTTTTCCCTAGTGCTTATGTGGAGATAGCAGAAGCTCTGCTTTTGTAAATTCATCAAGTTGAGAGAGAGGAAGCAGTAAATGAAAGCCATTGTTTGTCTTAGTGACCTGGCTATGATTTAATGACAATTTATCTAGAGTGGGTTTGGAGAGCAGTAGTGAGGTGTTGGTATTAGGTCCAGCTAAGTCTAAGGTAAGAAACTGGGATTTCATGGGTAGAAAGTTGTACTTTTTATCTCATGTACTGATGGGCTAGGAATTAATAAAGCCATTATTGCTGCTTTTTCTTCCAAACAAATATGGAATGAGAAGAATAGGAATGTTTATTTGCAAGCACTTTTTATATAGGTATTTTTGTAATGCCCCTTCTGTTTCTCTTTACCAGGATAACATATGCCTGTATTCTCACTGTTTGCTTTACCTCCTTCACTGGAACTTCAGATTAAACAATCAATCAGAAAGCATTTATTAAGCATCAAACTATTTGCCAGGCACTATGCTAGAGGCTGGGAATAGAAAAACAAAAATGAAACCATCCCTGCCCTCAAGGAGAGCAGTGAAGGAAACAATACGTTCATATATAAGTATATATAAATATTCTCAAGGTAATGCTGGGGAGGAAGACACTAGCATCTGGGAGACCAGGACAGGCGTCCTGAAGAAGCTTTCACATGAGCTGAGCTTTAAAGGAAACAGAGGATTCCACAAGGTGGGTGTGAAGAGGAAGTGCATTCTAGGCACGAGAGACCACCACCACAAATGCACAGGAATGGGAGATGCATATCGTGTGGGGGAACAGACACAAGGCCACTTTGGCCCTAGAGACAGTAAGGAGCCATTGAAATTTATTGAGCTGGAATGTGACATGGTCAGACCCATGCTTTAAGAAATTTACTTTGATCGTTGTGAGGAATAGAAATTGGAGATGGGAAAGACTTGGGGCAGGCACTCCAATGAGAATTGTTACAGTTATCTGAGAGGTTATGAGAGCCTGGACCAGAGTGGTCATTTTAGTAAAAAAAAAAAATGAGGACAGATGTGAGATACTTGTGGGGGTAGAATCAACAAGATTTGGCAACTGATAAGATAGGTGGTGTGAGAGAGAGGGAGTAATCAGTGATGACCCCAAAGTTGGAATCCTAGGTAACTGGAAGATTGGTGGTGCCCCTAACTGATATTTGGAAGTTTGGAAGACAGGTAGGCCTTGGAAAAAAGATTGTGAGTTTTGTTTTGTACACATCAAGATTCTGATCGACACAGGAAATCCAGTTGGAAATACCCAGTCAGCTTGTTGAAGATGTGGAACTAAAATTCAGAAGACAGACTAGGGCTGAATATATAGATCTGGAAGCCATTTGCATATAAATACTAACTAAACTCCTGGCAGCTGATGCGATAACCAAAAGAATATGCCAGGACAGAGCTTTGGCATAGGAGCAATGGAGGATGATCCAGAAAAAGAGAGTGAGGAGTGGTCAGTCAGGGAGAAGAATCAAGAGCAGAGCAATATCCTAAAGGCCCAGAGAAGAGAAAGTGGCCAACAGGGTCAAGAAGAGTGAGGATCGATAAAAAGACATTTGATTTGGTGAATGAGAGATCACTAGTACCTCTGAAGAGAGCACTTTCAGTTGAGTGGTGAGGTAAGAAGCCACACTGAAAAAGGGCTGAAGTGAGAGGAACAGGTAAAGGTCATAGGAGTTTAGATGTTAAACAGAGGAACTCTGTAGGATGATAAAATCAAGACAAGGATTTTTTTATGTGAAGGAAAGCTAGTGATGTATGTAAGCAACAGAGAAAGTTAAAATCTTTAACCTTTATTGTGAATGACAGAGAAATCATTTTACATCATCAGAATTGGAATTTACATAGTCAGAAACTATTTGAAGACAGAAATTATGGCAGTTAATATTGTAGGTTTTAATGGTAGTCATTCTCTGGACTTCTTTTAGGTGTTATTTTGGTTTCTTCTAGCCAAAGTAAATTTCTTCCCATCTTTTTTTGGAGGCAGCTAAGGGGCGCAGCAGATGGAGTGCTAGACCTGGAGTCAGGGAGATAGATCTAAGTTCATATCCAGCCTCAGGCATTTAACTTATTAGCTGTGTGATGCTAAACAAGTCACTTACCTTCTCTTCACCTAAATTTCCTCAACTGTAAAATCGGGATAATAACAGCACCTAATTCACAAGGTTTTTGGGAGGGTTAAATGAGATGTATGAGAAGTGCTTCGCAAAGTGCCTGGCACATAGTAGGCACCCTACAAATGTGTGTTCCCATCCCCTTCCTTTACCTTGCCCTGTCTTTTCAGTTAGTCCCACATCTCTTAAATTCCTCACTCCTGCCAACCCAGCCTTTTACTAATTTCTTTACATGTGATCACCCAAAGTAAAAATTGGTAGTTGCAATATACCTTCAGTTCAACAAGTATTCAAACAACTATGATTCAGAGTGTAATGATTTCAGAGGAGAAGTATAGACAACATGCTTTGAGAAATGTGAGGGGGCAGAATCATTTCCGCTTTGTTGCAGAAGGCTTCATCTTTTTGGAGGAATTGGCATCTGACATGGGTGCCTTGAAGAAGGAATGCTATACTACAGATCGAGATAGGACTAGTTAATTCCAGATATAGGGAGTGGAATGAAGAAAGGTAGAGAAACAGAGAGAGAACAAGATGAAAAAAGGTAAAGCAGTCCAATGTGACTAGAATGTAAAATGTGTCGTAGGGGAAGTAGTATGAAATAATAGTGGATAGAAGGGTTGAATCCAATTGTGGAAGGCCTTAAATTCCAGGATCAGTTTATACTTAATTCATTAAACAACAGAGATATGATCTCTATTTGTGTGTGTGTGTGTGTGTGTGTGTGTGTGTGTGTGTGTATGCACATGAACTCAAAATTGTTCATTTTACAAATACACATGTTCAGATCCTTCTGTAATAGGACTGTTACTTCTTTCTTCCTGCCTTAATAGGTCTTGATTACCCTGCCTAGCTCCTAGAATCCTGGCTTTCAGGAAAATATGGAGGGTAATGGAGTCTGAGAAAGTAGCTTCAATCTTTTCACAGGTATAGGAATAGCCATCTTCTCTCCCTGACTGCATCTCCTCTAGGCCTTGACTTCTTGGCCTTACTTCTCTAGTAAACCTCTCTGCAACTGCCACAGGGTGTGGCTGCTATCTGCAGCATTTCTTCCATATGGTGATGCTGAGGACCTAAAATCCATATCATTCTATACAACCCATATTAAGACAGTTGCTTCTGTCCTGACAATTCTTAGGTAAAAATAGATATATTAAACCCAAAATATAAGGAATATGAGTTGTCTGTCTGTCTGTCCTTTACAGTTAAGTGGTTTGACTACTGAGAGGGTAAAGAAATGTGGCCCAGCAGTCTTGTTTTCCTCTGTCTTCCTTGAATCTACAAGGAATAGAGAGAAACCTGGAAGATAAATGGAGAAGGGAAGAGATGTAGAAAGTAAGGAAAAATGGAAAAACTGGAAAAGTATGAAAGGAGAAGAAGAAAAATGTGGTTGTTAAGCATAAGCGGTAATAATAACTAGCATTTATACAGCTCTTCTAAGTTTGTGGAGGATTTCACATGTTCCCTCCTTTGACGCTCACAGTAGCCCTGCAAGGTGGCAGCTATTATCATCCCCAATGACTTACCTTGGATGATACAACTAGGAAGTGCCTAAAGTAAGATCTGAATGTAGGTCTTCCTCCCTCCAGGCCCAGTGCCTTATCCAGTACACCTTCTTGTTGCCACAAGCAATAAAATTAATGTTGACAAGTTTCTTGTGTGTCAGGAGACACAGTCGATTCTTAAACTTAGATATGAGTAAAACAGAACTTTTCTGTGCTAAACAACATATAGAGAATTAAAATACAAAAATATAATAGATATTTGGTCTTTTAGATGGTAGGCTATTTGTTTCACTTCTTATAATAATTCAAAGCTTTTATGTCTAAATGCTCATTTAAGAACTTTAAAATATGCTTCTAAAAATCCATTACTTTTTAAAAACTTTAACATTTTATTTTTCCCCAATTACATGTTAAAACAATTTTTAAAAAAATATTTTTTAAAGTTTTAAGTTCCAAATTCTGTTCTTCCCTCCACTCACCTCTCCCTGAGATGGTAAGTAATCTGATACAGTTTATACATGTGCAATCAAATCCATTACTTTTTTTAAACACTTGATTTAATATTCACATTCTGTTCTACTTTGTAGAATATAACACATTCGGGAAGGCACAAAGGTCACAAGATGTCTGTAACTCGTCAGAATAGCTGGCTTGGAGATATTCTGGATTGGCAGGATATTGCTTCCTTTGTTCACGAGAACATCGAGACATTTCTTTCTGTAAGTAATTTTGTTTATACATATACATATAAATGAAAAGTGTAAGAACGACCCTATGACTTGTTTCTGTTTGCAGAGGCTTTTACTCATTGTGTTACACTTGATCTTGTATAGGGCATGCCTTTATTGCTAAGGCATACATTTTTGAAAGCTGTGGAAGAAATTCCTTTGTCACTTTCTCAACTGGCTGAGCTGATCCCAGAAATGTTGTGAGTCATCCTAGTTTATGCATCATGCACTGTTCTTTATAACGGCCTAGTTGTTCCCCAGAGATTTGGAGCACTGAAATGTCTCTATACGGATCAGAATGTAGCTGGTAAACACTTGAAGAGCAGTCAGATTTTTTTTGTAGGTCTAATTGTTTGTTCTTTTAGAGGGCCAGTGATTTTAGTGATCAGTTCAGGGAATAATAGTGCTCTTCAAATACGTCTCAGGGACCCACCTCCCTGTAATGAAATGAATCATCAGTACAAAACTACTTAACAAAGTTTCTGAATTCTATTTATTTGACATTAAAAAAAAAAGGTATGGCACCTTTTAAAAAATTTTTCTAAAAAGATCAGTTTGGGGTGGGTGGGTGGATGGATGATGATGATGATGATAATAATGGTGATGACGATAATGATTATGATGATGTTCTTTAAGCTTTCTCCTCAGTCATGTACCATAAGAAAAAAAGGGAAGAACATTAGTCTATTTTGACCCTCAAGGTCAAAATAAGAGATTATAAAATCATACAGCTAGAGTTGGAAGAGGCCTCCTAGGTCACCTTGTCTAACCCCCTTATTTTACAGATAAGAGACCTAGGAAGGGTAAGTGATTTGCCCAAGGTCACAGATTTGGTGAATATCAAATAGGAATTGTATTTGTTTTTCTTTTTCTTTTTTTTTATTCTCAACTTTACAAATACCAAATAAAATGAGTATTTCTGAAGAACAGGAAAAGAGGATTGCATATGACACTGGACATTTGTTAGATATAGATTGCTGGTGTTTTTAAGTATATATTTGCAGGTCTCAAAGTGCTATATAAATGCTATATAATAAATGCAATATATAACTTTCAAAGCCATCCTGCGTATCTTTGATTCCTTTTGTTCTTTTTTAGAACAAAACTTTTTAGAGTGAACCCTATCCCCAGTTCCGTTCATCTTTACCCAAAAAAATTGGGGGGAGGAAGAAAACAACCCTTATAACAAATATGCATAGTCAAGCAAATCAGATTCCATATTGGGAATGTGTTCAGAAATGTATTCAGAAACAGGATTTGAAACTAGGTCCTCTGACTTAAGATGCAGCACTTTTCTTCTTACCATGCTACCCTCCATCAAGGTGGCCCATGAAGGAATTTTTCCTTTCTGGAAGGAAAGATAGTTTAGGACAGAGGAAGATAAGTTCTAATAAGAATGATGAGGACACCAGCAATACCACTGCTAGGCCAGTACTCCAAAGAGAGAAAAGACCCTTGGTACAGAAATTATTTATGGCATCTCTGTTTGTTATAGCAAAGAACTGGAAGCTAAAGAAATACCCATTCGTTGGAGAATGACTGAACAAATTATGATATATAATGTTATCACCATGTAAGAAGTGATGAAAAGGACTTTTTTTCAGAGAAGCCTGGGAAGAGTTGTATGAATTAGTAAAAAAATGAAGTAAACAGAACCAGGACAGTAATTTATACAGTAATGACAGTATTGTAAAGAAACAAGTCTTTGAAACACTTAAGAAATTTGATGAATGAAATGATCAACCATGACTCCAGTGATGAAGCATGAACCAACCCCCTTAGAGAGAAGTGACAGTCTTAAGGTGCAGAATAAGACACATCTTTAGACATAATGAATGTGTGGATTTATTTTGCTTGACTATTCATAATTATTACAAGAGTTTTTTGTTTCTTACCTTCCTCGTTATTGTCAAAAAAGAAAAGGGTTATTGAAGCATTTTTTTTAAAGTACACAGAAGTGAACAGAAGGAAATTCAGAAGGAAACAGACAAGCAGGACAGTTTTGAAAATAAAACATTGAATTTATTATATACTTAAAAGAGAAAAAGCAAACTGCACATAATAGAGATTCAAAATTCCTTGTACAGTCTTCATTATTTGCCCTACTTCATATGTGGAAACACTCATTTGGTATTTGTTAAGTTCACAACAGTTTAAGAAAGAAAAGGCATAGTTTTCCAATGTGGACAAAAGTAAAATTTAATTAAATTGCAGTTGTTTATAATTAAGTACCCCATGAGTACCCAAGTATAATTTCAGTTCCTCTAATTCTTGCTCTTAAAGAATGTTGACTTTGTCTCTTAGGAAGTTCTGTTGTAATCATACTGTTTTTAAAATTTTGATATATATTTTAAATTTAAAGCAATCTCATTTTGACAAAAAAATCTTGGATCTTGAGGTTTGTCTTTGACTCTTTTCAGTTATCAATTCTGAAAAAATAGCCTTGTGGCATGGTTATGGTATGCTAATAAAACACCACCACCATCTGGTGGCCCTGCCGTTAATTGCAGAGATAGTACCAAAGGAGGAACTAAGCCACTCTTTTTTTCTTTGAATATAGGTTTTGTCTTCACATCCAACAGTTAGGATTAAACTCTCTTGTCAGCAAGCAATATGACAAATATTTGCATTTTTCAGACAGAGTAATTGAGGTACCTATAGAAAGTGAGTAATTGAATTGTCAATCGAAGTCACTCAGTGGGTAAAAGAATCAAGCCCTGGCTGGGTTGATTTCCTTAATACTTAATAATTACATAATTCTCCTTTTTCAAGGATACAGTTTCTCATTTATGCTGGTTCTAGACAATGACTTTTGCCAAAGTGTTTAAATTCCTATTGAAAAGAAAAGAGGAGAGACCAAGGTGACTTTGAAGTCCTGTTTTTAGAGATTTCCAGAAGGACTGGTTGGATTTATTACTCACATACAGGCTAATGGAAACAGCATTCATTGCTGATATGGAAGAAAATTATTTCTAACAAACTAAATAAATTGATGAAGGAAATTTATATTTACAAAAAGCTAAACCCATCATTTTCCAAGGAAGGCCTGCCTTTTTTGAATTGTCGTCTACAATGTCTGTTAAGACAGACTGTTTAAACCAGACACTTCTCACTCTCTCTCCTTAGATACACATGCATCCTTATGGTAGTGGGGGCTGTTACAGGGTGTCTCATAAGTCTTAGTGAAATTTTAAGCCATTAAAGCTTGAAAGACAAAAGACATTAAGACTTTTGGGACATCCTGTATTATACCCCCTGAGTCACTCCTTCAGTTGGGCACATACAGCAGATATTTACTTCCTTTCCTTATCCTCTCAAATACTACTCAGATTTATTACTGTAGGACATGATTTCATCCTGTAGGATTTAAGAATATACCTGTTTGTATTAGGTTCTAGTAATAGGAGATAATTTGCTTTTAGGTAGCTTTAAAACTCTACATTTTACAAAGTTTATTTGTCTTTTAAAAGTAATCTCAAGGGGGCAGCTAGGTGGTGCAGTGGATAGAGTACTGGCCCTGGAATCAGGAGGACCTGAGTTCAAATCCAGCCTCAGACACATAATACTTCCTAGCTGTGTGACTCTGGGCAAGTCACTTAACCCCAATTTCCTCACAAAAAAAAAAAAGTAATCTCAGGGGTAACTAGGTGGTATAGTGGATAGAGTACTGGCCCTGAAGTCAGGAGGACCTGAGTTCAAATCCGGCCTCAGACCAGACACTTGACACTTTCTTGCTGTGTGACCCTGGGCAAGTCACTTAACCCCAGTTGCCAACAATAAACAAACAAACAAACAAATAAATAAATGAAAAGTAATCTCAAGTACAGTCTTGAGGCTGTGCTTTTAACTTAATTTTCCTTAAAATCAGCCCCAAATTTGGAGTTTCCGGAAAAAAGCAAATGCTTCCAGTGAGTAGGAATCTCAGAGAGTTAACCAGTACACTGACATAGACAATTATGGGTCAGAGGCAGAATTTGAACCCAGGTCTTTCTCGCTCTAGGGCGGGCCTGCACAGCATGTGGCCTGCCAAAGTGGCCCACGGGACAGTATGTTGTGCAGGCCTGCTTTATGCAAATCCCTCAGCAAAACTGACTATGCAGTGTTCCATTAGGGCAGACCTACACAACATACTGCCTATGGGCTGCTTGCAGCCTGCCAAAGGGTGGTCCAAGAAAAATATAGAGGATGTAAAACAGGCCTGCCCACCCTACAACCCACAGGCTGTATGTTTTGTAGGCCTGCTCCAAGGCTAGCTTTCTGTCTGCTGTGCCAGGCTACTTCTGCTAAGCTGCAGGGTATCCTGAAGGAGAGAAAATCAAACTACTGCTGTCACCTTTGCTATCACTTCCCCTCAGGCCCATTGGGTGAGAGATAGCCCAGGACCCTGTGCACAAGAGCCCTGGGAATAATGGCTTCCATGCTTCCAGCCTGACTCCTGTAGAACATTGTTTAGAGAAACAGCCCTTCTGGAGAAGCAGCCCTGCATCCCCACTGCTGGCCAGCTGCTACCTGTGGCCTCGAGGCCGTGTGTGGCCCTTTTACTGAATCCAGAATCAGTCAAAGGGCCACACTTGAGGACCTAGAGGCCACAGGTTCCCCTCCCCTCTCCTAGCCCCTCTTAGTCCAACTTCAAGCCAAGCCTTTTATGCAAAAGAATAACCCTTTTGACTATGAAACGTGGTGTTTATAACTGTAGGTGCTACAACCCCTAACTTCTTAGCAACCACTGCTGCTGAAGATCCAGAAAAAACGGTGATCACCCACCAGAGTCCTTGGAACTGTCAAATGCTTCACCATCAAAAACAAATATGGTTTATCAGTGGCTAAAAATGACTCCTTCCCTATCTCTCATCCATCTCTGTTTAATCTGTCTTGTGCACTTAATGGCATTCCAAATTTGATATAGTTTTTGTGTGTTTATAACCTTACTAAACTGTAAAATTTTTGAGGTGAAAAGCTTTTTTTTTCATCTTTGTATCATCATTACCTAGCATAGTTGCATTACATGTAACAGGTACTTAGACAGATGTTTTTCTGAACTGAATAGAAAAATCTTTCCGCTCACCTCTCTGCTCTGCTGTCCTCCCAACTCCCTCACCATCAAGAAGCCCTCTTATGTAGAATAGAATTTTTGTCCTCTCTTTCATGCAATTTTAACATTTTACAGCCAGCCTCACGGTGTCTAATAATTCTTCAATCTGAGTTATTTTTAGAGATTATCCTTTACATAGCTGAATCTTTCCCTTTTGAACAATATAAACAGAACACAGCAGAAAAAAATTTAGACATTTCTAGAATGGTATGGTTTCCTCATATGCAGAAAACACTTTTTTGTGTCTTTTTTGTTGTTTGATAGAAGGATGCTTTCATTAACCCTTTAAAATTGATTAACTCTGTTATCTGCAACTGAAAAGTTTGATCAATTTGATAGCCATGACTTGTTTTCTTTACACAGATATGTGGCTAACATCCAGAAGCATTGTTTTCACCACACTGGCTTTTTGGCACTGTCATAACCTGCCATGTTCTTATAGATAAATAGCATCTGTATGAAATTTCACTGTAAAAAGCATAAGAATTTTAGGATAAATCTAAAATTTTGTATAGTTTCTACATAGTCTAGCAGTATAAAATTTTTAGTGGTGTAGTTGTAGACAAGGTTAAGAAACAAATGTGTTATCTTTTTTCTTCTAGGAGTTCTTTACTCATTAGGAGCTTTGGAAAACACCTGTCCATTTTCCAAACCTTTCAGGTCTTTGATACTCCATAAACTAATCTGCATGGTGTGAAACTCGAGCCTGGCTTTGTGACCTTTTAAGGCAGCATTCCTTATGTATGGTTCTTTCTGTATATTGTTTTGTCCAGGCTATTATGAAACCAATGAAAATCTGTTGGAACAAGCTGCTCTGGAATGTTGCAACCTACAGGTCACTTGCCAGTAGGTTCTAGAAATCTCTTTAATAAACTAATCGAAGAGTGTTCATTTCCCTTGTTCAGTGCTTTCAGTAACTACCCATTTTCTGTCATAAGCTCTCCCTTTTTTGTGCTCTTTCAGTTATTCTGGTTATAGCAGAGAGAGTGCTGATGATATTTAATATTGTTCTTTAACACATTTTAAATTTTAGGTGGTGAATACTCAAAACCAAGATCCTGATTCTGGGAAGCTGATATCCAGAGATTTGTTTTTAAGTTTTAATTTTTGTTTCCTTCTAGCCATTAGTGCCAGCAAGTAGTGATATTGGTTCCTATAGGATGTTTTGTTGCTTTGGTTGTTGTCATTGTTCAGTTGTTTTCAGTCATGCCTGACTCTTCATGACCCCATCTGGGGTTTTCTTGGCAAAGATACTGGAGTGGTTTGCCATTTCTTTCTCCTGCTTATTTTACAGACGAGGAAATTGAAGCAAACAGTAGTAAGTGGCTTGCCCAAGGTCACACAGATAGTAAGTGTCAGAGGCCAGATTTGAACTCAGATCTTCCTGACTCCACGCCCAGAGCTCTAACCACTGCTCTACCTTGTTACCCATTTTTGCTTTGGTATATATATGGCATACACTTCTGTGTTAATAATTAGTGCCTTTGTGACATAAATAAGCATACTGAGTCACATAGTGATGAATTATTTTATAGGTTTACCTGTTTGCTAAAATTTCTCTGAAGGAATGATTCCTCCTTGTTGGTTAATTTCTGTGTAACTCTGTGGTTAATAAGTTAAGAATGATCTTGAAATAATGATTTAAAAGTGGTTTTTGGGCGCCAGTTTCTGCATGCTGTGAAGCTCTTGATTGGCAGCATTCCTTATATGCTGCTTTTTCTGTACATTATTTGGCAGGCTATGCTAAAAGCAATGAAAATCTGCTGGTAAATGCCTTCCCCTCTCAGATTATCTTGCTCTACTATGTATGTATGTATACACATATGTGTGTATGCATGCAACTCTGTATATATCCACAGTGCCTGGTACATGGTAAATGCTTAACAATTAACTTGTTGACTGAATTCAGACATTTGATTCTCTTCTTTCCAGATCCTAGAATCTCTATGGATAGTGATGAGTCGCAATGTGAGCCTGCTTTTTACCACAGTTACAACATTACTGACTATTCTTTTCTATAGTGGGACAGCCCTCCTCAATTTTGTGCTATCTTTGGTATGTATGTTCTCAACGCCTCCTTTTCAGTCTACACTGTTTTTCTTATGAGCCTTCTTTTTCTTTCCAGACACATCTGTTTATTTTTTGGAAGATACTTTCTTTTTATTTTCTCCACCTTCTTCACCTCACTGAAATCTAAAAAGGAAGAGGCCATCAGGTTTTATTTCAATTTTAGTATGAAATATTAAAGTGCAGATTTAACCAAAGGTTTGCCATTCAAAATTTCTTTTGAAATCTAGGTGGCACAGTAGATAGAGCACTGGCCCTGAAGTCAGGAGGACCTGAGTTCAAATCCAGCCTCAGACCAGAACACTTGACATTTACCAGCTGTGTGACCCTGAGCAAGTCACTTAACCCCAGTTGCCTTTTTTTTAAAAAATCTATCATCTGCTAGAATTTTTCAGGATATTATCCAAATATTTAGAAATCTCTGAATTAAAAAAATGCGATAGAACTAATTAGTAAAACTTATCATTGTTATAACCCCCATTTACATGCCCCTATATAGTTTACAAGGAACTTTCTGCATTATGGCTTTGTTGGATTGTACAGATGTTAATATCATCAATTTACAAATGGGGAAAATGACTCAGAAAGTCTGTGTTATCTGCCCATCATCACAGAGCTAGGAAGGGTCAGAACTTTCTGTGACTGTGGTCCAGGACTTTGAACTCTTAAGTCAAGTGAGGTTCCCACTATGCCTCTCAAACAGTGACTTAATTTAGTTGATATTCATTGAGTACTTACTGAGTACAGAGGTAACTTAGTATTATGAGGGATACAGAGCCCTTTCCCTCAAAAGTTTGTATAATCTATTAAGAATGAAATAAATAGACAAATAAAGGCATAATACAAAGCAGATCATAATGAGTGCCATTGAAGATCTACAAAGTAGCATCATTTACAGCTTCAAAGAGAGAAGAAATCCCTTCCAGTTCAGGAAAGGCTTTGTGAAGAAAGGTAAGTTTGGAGCTGAGACTTCAAGAATGCTTAGGATTTTGACAGAATGAAGGAACAATATCAGTAAAGGCTGGACAGCACAGGATTTATTCAGAGAATAGTGAGTAGGGCAGGTTGGCTGAAACTTTAAAGGAGTAGTAGGAAGTAAAACGAGCCATATTGTAGAGAATGTTGGATGTCAGGCTGAAGAGTGTTATAGGGTCATAGCTTTAGAGCCAGGAGAGGTCTTAGAGACCAAAGAGTCCAAACCTCTCGTTTTATATGTAAGGAACTAAACCAGTCAAGGAAAGTAGATTAAACTTGCCCAGTGTCACACAAGAAGTAAATAGCAGCACACTCTTTGGGTACTGGGGTTTTGAGGCAAGGGAATAGCAGGAGTGGATCAATCTGGCAGTGGTATATAGGATGGATTGTAGAGGAGAGAGGGGGACTAAAAGCTGGCTGGAAGGGAACGCTGTTAGGAGACTTGTCCAAATGAGAGCTCCAGATTAGGAGTTTTAGAAGACAGATGCAAGGTTTACCAGGCACTTTCCTCACAACACTTGTATGAAGTAGGTAGTATAATTATTATTCCCATTTTGCAGATGGAAGAACTGATGCTTAAAGAGGCTAAGGGACTTGCCTAAAGTCTGTACCTAGTAAGTATCAGAATTCAGTCTTGAACCTCCATGTTCTGACTCTAAGGCTAGTTTTCTTTCCGCTAGTGTCATAGGAACCCAGGGAAGATAGAATTTAAAGAAGAGTGTGTAGTTAGTAGTAGCAAGTACAGCCAAACAAAGTCCTTGAATGTACAAACTAAGGAAAGGAGAATGACTGGCACCTGGATGCTCCTGCCTCCACTGTGTAGGTAGGGCAGTGCTACAGGGCCTGGTTTGGGGTCATGAAGACAAAGGCATGAGTGGACAGCTGCTGATGACAGTTGCTGGACAAATTAGGAAAGCAATCTAGCTATACTTGCTGCTAGTCTAAACCATAGAACAGCACAGTGGTCTAGTTAATATCCTCAGGAGTCAGAGAAAAGTAGAGTATTTGAAAAGTTCCAAGTGGGTAGGGCCAACTTACTTGAGAATACTCAGAAATGTCCTATTTGAGTGACATCAGAGCCAGAATAAAAAAGATCCATAGCTGGGATAGTTTATAAGCCTCAATCTGAAAATTGGTCAGTCAGGGTTTGGGGCCTACCCATGAAATTGCCTCAACAAAAACAGTTTTCTCTGCCTTCCTTTTCTCTCTCTCTCTCTCTCTCTCTCTCTCTCTCTCTCTCTCTCTCTCTCTCTCTCTCTCTCTCTTTCTTTGTTTTTTGTTTTATTCAATGGTGAAGGGAGAATAGTTCCCCAAAATGACCATGATATAAAGACAAAAGGCATCAATTAAAAATTTTAAAATTTTGGTTATACTGTTTGATCTGAAGTCTGTCATCATTTACTGTTGTCTTCATATGTATTATTTAAGGGATTGCATATGTGCTGTTGGTTCTCTTTTCTTTATTCTGCATCATTTTATGTAGGTCTTCCCAATGTGTCTCTAAGTTCCTCATACTTCGTGTTTTTTAAGGCACAATTATCCTCTGTTACATTCATGGTTCTTATACCACCGTTTCAGCCATTCCCCAATCAGTAGACATACCACTTTGTTTCCAGTTTTTTGTCACTACAAGAAGTACTGCTATGAATATTTTGAGATGTGTGAGACCTTTTTTTTCATTGACTTTGGGAAGTATACCTAGTAGTGGAAACACTTGATCAAACAATAGAAAGAATTTAGTGACTTTCCCTGTATGATTCTAAATAGTTTTTTAGAATAGACCAGCTTCAGCAACAGTATATTATTGTGCCTGTCTTCTACAGCCCTTCCAAAATCAACAATTTCCATCTTTGCCAATTTGATGAGTGTGTGATACAATGTCCAGAATTGTCTTAATTTCACAGAATCACAAAATTTGAGATTGGGAAAGCACTTTGTATGTTTTTTCTTTGATAGCTTTGAAAGAAAGGATAAAGGAGTTCATTAGAATGGTTCAAAACTCTTTTGAGGCGTATAATTTTAAATGTCTATTACATCATAGACATTTCCTGACTCCCTTAGGTAGTGTGTTTATTTTCATGTTATTATTTTCATAGTGTCTTCATAAACTCTGATTTGATTTACAGGTGATTTTCTTGACCACACTGTTTTACTTATTAAGTTCCAGTGATGAATATTATAAACCAGTGAAGTGGGTAATTAGTCTGACACCACTGTCACAGCCAGGCCCTTCATCTAACATAGTTGGTCAATCTGTGGAAGAAGCCATAAGGTAGGAAAACAATATATGTTTTTCTTATCACATTCAAAAACTATTTAATCATTTGAAACTCATTTTCTTTTGTCTTCTTGTTAATACTCTCATATTGAGGCCCCCAACAGGCAGTTATATGCTGTATTTATAAAATCATTCATGTAACAGTACAATGAGAAATGCAAACTTTTAACAGAAAAAAAAAGTTTGGCACAAATCATTTTCCTCCTAGGTCTGGTATTAATTAGTAAAGAGATTAACTGCTTCTGCCATGAATACCGGAAAAAAAAATGAGGAGCATTGTATGTATTCAAAGAACTGACATTTGTCTAATGAGAAAATAAAAATACATTTCCAGGAAGCTAATAGCACCCTATAGGGGGAAACCCATTGTTTAACTTGTCATGAGGTAAGAATTCATTTCACCAAACAATAGGTACCTACCAAGGGCAAGAATATGCCTATCTTCTTGAGGTAGAAAGACAAAAATGGAAAGCAGCCTCTGCCTTCATGGAACTTAGATTAGGGGATGTAAACAGTATATCCTTTTCTCTTAAGCTCTCATAGACAAATGAGAATCTGCCCTGTCTTTAAAGAGTTGCCAAAAAGAAAGCGCGATAACATTCTTTAACAACCCATTTCATGGAACCTCAGAGTTGGAAAGGACTTCAAGAATCACTACTACAATATCTCCACTGAGTGGTCATCCATCCTTCCTTAGAAGATCTTTGAAAAAGAGAAATTCATTACTTCCTGTGGCAGTCCATCATGCTTTCAAGTAGCTCTGATTTTAAGGGAAAATGTCTTCATATTCAGCTCAAATCTTCCTCTATGCTGCTTTCACCCTTTTCTCCTCTGTGCCTTCGAAAGCCAACTAAAGCAATTTTAGTTCATCTTCAACTGTTTGAATACTATCATTAAGACTTTTCTTAAATCTTTTCTTCTCTGTGATTTTCTTCTCCTTAAGACTTTTCTTCTCCGTGATAAAGATCTGCAGTGCCTTCACCCAGTACTCATACAGCATGGTCTCCTTCACCATCCTGGTTCTCCTCTTTTGGAGGCTCTCCAGTTTGTAATATTATTCCTAAAATGTGGTGCCTACAACTAAACACAGTACTTCACTTGTGGTCTGACCAGGGCAGCTAAGAATAAGGATATCACCACCCTCATTATGGACATGATGCCTTTCTTAATACATTATCACGTTGCATTAGCATTTTTGACTGCCATGTTATACTTTTGACTCATACTGAACTTGAAGTTCACTAAAATTCTCAGATTTTTAACATGATTTATTTGAACTCAGCTATTTAAAGAAATTTACATTTATTTCTCTTCAGTTTCATCAGATCCAGCCCTATGTTCTATGCTTTTAATATTTTGGATTCTTATTCTGTCATACAATTTATTAATTATACCTTCTTATTTTAAGTGCTCTGCGTATTTGATAAATACATCATTAATGTTTATCTAAACCATTGATTTTGAAAAGTTCATTCGTGCAGAGGCAAGGATGCTTTTTTACAGACTTCCCATTTCACTCATTCATCTCTATTGTTTTTAATCTGGTCATTCAGTCAGCTCTGAACTTACCAACATACTTTTTGTCTCACTTTCAACTCTCCATCTTGGCTATGGGGAAAACACAAAAGACCTTCAGGTAGGAAATAAGTGTGATATAAAAAACAAAGCATAATTTTTTTTAAAAGGTCAATAAAAAATTAATTTGAAAATGATCCATTCTAAGATTTTGCCAATGATAGAAGACAAGCCACCTGGCAAATAGTTTATACAATAGATTCTCATTTTTAAAAATCAGGATATTTTGTTATTACTCTTACTGTCAGAATTGTCTTCCTAATATCTAAATCCCTTTCTGTAGTGTCTTTTTTTGGTATTTATAGAAAGTGAACAGATAGCTCACATCTTCTATATAATGTTTACTATTGAGTCACCTCTCAGAATTTCCTCAACTTAAATAACCTCAATTGTTTTTATTCCTTCTTAGTTCTATTTTTCAGTTCTTTGGTTATCTTTTTTGCTCTCCTTAAGCTGTCTCCAAATTTTCCACATCCTTCTTAAGTTATGAGAACACAGAACTGGACATTGGTATTTGCAGTAAAATTTTGACCAGAGTTGACTACGGTAGGCATCATTACCTTGTTAAACTACCAAGTTTGCTTTTTAAAAAACTACAGTAGCAAAATGATCAATTTCTGTTATAACTCAGGTTGTTTTTAGCATTTTTAATATGTTTACTTTTGATCATTTATTCCACTTACGGTAATTTAAATTCATATTTTATTATGCAAGGGAGAGGCAGCCTCTTAGTATGATGTCATCTGAGAATGTAATGGTCATGATTTCTCTATCAGTGTCAACAGTAAATAATTTATTGAATACTTTTGTACAACATCCACTGCCCTCAGGGAGTAAAGAAGGAGATGAGACATAGGTAGAAAAGAGAAATAACAATATGAGATAGACAATACAAAATATCTAATGAATAATGTAGTTAATAAATGCTATTGGAATTCAGAGAAGAGAGATTACTGTGGACTTTTAGTGTAATTAAGAAATGCTTCATGCAGAGACTAGGATTTGTGTTAAGCCTTGGAGAAAAGGTAGGACTTAGATAAACAAAGAAGACAAGAGATCTTTTCAGACTGGAAGAGCTCCATGAGCAAAGACATGGAGGTGTGGGAACGTGTGGCATATCTGGGGGACAGTAAATGGACCAGTTTGCCCAACCAGCAGTTTCCTGTAGGGAAATAGGCCACATTAAAGAGATAGATAGAGGATGTACATATTGTAGAAAGATTCAAATATCAGGCCAAGTGGAGTAGACTGTTCTATACTGGCTAGGGGGTGAGGAGGGTGGAGGTCAGGACTTGAAAGCTTGTATTTGTGTACACAATTAAACTACAGTGGGGTTGAGCACTTAAGTCTGTGCTGGTCATTATGGGGAGTACAGGATGAAGAGACATGGTTCTTGCTCTCAAAGAATTTGCAATTTAGTATGAGAGATAAGATTACACAATGGTTGTAATACAATACAATGTGGGGGCTCATTAATAAAGATATAAATACAATGCTGTGAAAGAGATGACATTTCTTGGGGTAAATAGAGGTCAGAAAGTCAGAGGTCCTTTCATGAAAGGATGAGTAGGAGTTAGGTAGAGCTGGAGGGTTAAAGCCATTCTTGAAACATTTTGTGGAAAAAAAAAAGAAACATTTTGTGAAAGAGGAAGATTTTAAAAGTAGCTGAAGGTGTTAGGATCTCCCCCTAACCCTGCCCTCTTATTAATTACGATGTCACACAAGAGATGAGGGAGGATTGGTTGGAAAGAAGTGCAAGGTTACAAGAGTGATGCATCAAATACAGAAAGAAAAAGGTATCTCATTTCTTCACCAGCCTCTCTGGCAACCCTTAGGACAACCTTACAAGCTCATGACACCTAATTCCCAGACTGTGAGTAGAATGAAAAAGTCGCACTGTTTTCACACCTATTCAGTAATTGCACATCTCCAGTATCTCTCTGTAATAAGAGTTTATATGTGATGCAGTGAGCTTTTAGATGACAGAGACTATATCACAAAAATCTTCTATATGGCACATTTCACATTGTAGCCACTCTGGAATATGTATTAAACAACTAAGTATATACAATCACCTCAAATCTCTGCTAGGATAGCTTTACTATATGTTTTGAACTAGTAGTTTGACCATGATTTTCTTTCACAATGTATGGGGGGAGACAAGTTAGTATAAATACTTCTCCCTTGATTGCCTAGTCAGGACTCAGGGTTGACAGAGCCAAGCTTCAGTAGAGCTTTTTTCAGTTTTTTGTTTACTTTGTTAACTGATCCTTTGCAAATTATCCTTTTGTGTTGTTATTCTGCTCAGGTAAATCTTTTATGTATTGTCACTACTTCTGTTAATCCTTGCAGATGAAGTTGAAACAAACCTTTTTTACCCATATTCTTAAATTTGACACCCTTACCCCCATAGCTGATGTTTAAGCCAAAAAGCTACCCAACATAGAGAGGAGCTAACCTTAGCTTCCTTCTGAGTTGATTTTGTACATTTCCATAACAAAAAATTTGATGAGCTTCACAAATAATTTTAGTGAAATGTTTCCTCTATTCATTAAACTATTGTTACGTTACAGAGTTAGGGAAAAATATGTTTTAGTGAAGAAATTTCTTGTACATCATTAATAATATCAGTTATTTCTGTACTGTTTTTTCTTTGTTGCATGAGTTGCCATGGGGGAAAAAAAAGAGAAAATTATTACCAGGTGACCACCTTGCTTATTAAGAATCTGCCTTTCCATAATTAGCTTGTTGTCCCTCAAAAAACAGATTTGTTATGAGGGCTAAACTCCCAGTCTTTCCAGCCTTACAAGACCAACCTCAGCTTGTACTCCACTGAAATACATTCTAAGAACTCAGCATCACATCCTTACCACAGTGAAGTATCAGTGGGCAGCTTTTTAGAGTCACTCACTTCCGTAATGACTCTGGCAATGTGGGAGGATGCCAAGAATCAGTTTTTAGATCAAGAAATTTGAATTTGCCTTCTGGTACTCCAAACATAAGTAATGTGAGGCCCTTTACCAACGATGAATGAATGAACATTGTCAAAAGAAGTAAATAATATTGGGATTGATATTCTTGCTATAAACAATACCAAAACAAGGAAGGACAGCTAAATGGAAGTAGAACTCACAGGTATTTAGTCCTTAGAGAGTCAAAGAAAAGAATTGGTGGACTAAATTTTGTTCAGTGCTCAGAAACTATCAGAAATATTGCTTCATTAGACATCTGATCATCACATATTATTCTACTCATGATAGGTAGTGATTATGTGAATGGAGAGAAGGGGGCAGATATTTCAAATGCTGTGGAGGTAGTGCAGGAGTTGAGATCTAGGGCAGAAGAAAAGGGGTTAATTTTGGTAAGAAGGATGGACCATCTCTGTGTTCTGTTGTTGTTGTTGTTGTTTGTCCTTCCTT